AAAAAACAAGTGCTTGTGAGGACATGGAAAAATTGAAACCCCTATGCACTGCCAGCAGGAATGTAAAATGGTGCACCTGCTGTAGGTAACATTATGGAGGGTCCTAAAAAAAATTAAAAATAGAACTACCACATGATGCAGCAATTCCACTTCTGGGTATATACCCAGAAGAACTGAAAGCAAGGTGTCTAGGAGATAAATTCATTCACAGCTATTACTTAAAATAGCCAAAAGATGGAAGCAACCCAAGTGTCCACTGATGCAAGAACGAATAAGCAAAATACAGTATATACATACAATGGAATTTATTCAGTCTTAAAAAGGAAAGACATTCTGACACATGCTACAATATGGATGAACTCTGAGTGAAATATGCTACTCACAAAAAGTCAAAAAACTGTATGATTCTATTCATATGAAGTACTTTAGATTCAGAGAGACAAAAAACAGAATGGTGGTTGCCAGGGATGGGGTGGGTTGTTGCTTAATGGGTACAGAATTTCAATTTCACAAGATGAAAAAGTTCTGGAGATGGACGGTGGTGATGGCTGCCCAGTAATATATGAATATACTTAATGCTACTGAACTGTATACTTAAAAATGGTTAAGATGGTTAAATGTTATGTGTATTTTACTGCACACACACACAAAAAAAAGTTAAAGAAAAATAACCACAATAGAAAAATGGGCAAGTGTTTTGGACAGGAACCTCACAAAAGATGATATCTGGAATACCCACTAAACACATAAAAATAAGATACGAAAAAGTGTTTAATCTCATCGACAATAATGCAAATGCAAATTAATGCCACTTCAGAATCCCTTTACACACACCTGAATGGCTAAAATGAAAGACAAACTTAAGTGCAGATGACAATGCAGAGCGACCAAGAGTGTAAACTTTGAAACCACTTTGAAAAATGATTTGGCCCCGTATCCATTAAAGCTGAACCATTGCACCCTGTGACCCAGTAACTTCACTCCCAGTTACAGGGCCAAAAGAAGTGGGTGCACATGTGTACTAAAAGATACGTGTAAGAAGGTTCATATCAACATTATTCTAATAGCCACAAAACGGAAACTGCAGATGTCCATGGATTTGGGATCAACAATGAAGAAGGAGCTGCTGAGATAGACAGTATTGATGAGCATCATGGGCTGTAACACCGAGTTAAGGAAATCAGGAACACATGAAAAGAACAGTGTATGGTTACATTCACATGAAAATCCGCAACTGGCTGAGGTGCAGATGTACTCTGTTTCTTGACCTGGCTGTACTGTATGTTCACACTTTGTGGTAATTCACTAAGATGAACACAGATGCTGTTTTTGAACTTCTCTTGATGCATGTCATACTTTATCAAAAAAGTGAAAACAAAACAAAACACAACTCTGTACTTTCCAACCTGCCTTTCACATGAACCTAACTGTGCAGGCTTTTTTCCTATTTCTTTTAATTTTTGTTATACAGGTCTGTAAATACATGTGCATTCATACACATAAACACCCCAACAACAATCCAAATAAATGAAACTGATGAAGGAATAGATTTTTAGTCTACTTTTTAACAAGTGCAAAACATAAATCATCTGGTAAGAACATTCCTTCCAGATCAAATAATGAAATACAACAACCAAAGTATTGATGTTTCTCAAGATAAAGTCCAAGTTTCAGTTTGCACCTTTGTCTCAAAATTTAAGATTAAATTTTACCTTTCAAGTTTCAGAGATGGACTGCTCAATCATATTGTTAATTAACTTTTGCAACGAAAAGGTGACCACAAATAATCAGTGAAGAGTCATCAATTATTTAGATTGATTCTAACTGAAGTAACCACAGCTTATTAATTCTCACCTATCAAGTTTTAGAAAAAAGTATTCCTGGGACAATGAAAACAAATACTACTTCTACAAGGATAAACCATGAACACCTGAGCAGTGTGTGAAACCTGGAAAAGTTAGGCATGTAGGAAAATGATCCCTCCAGCTGGCTGTAACAAAGAATTATCCATACAAATGCTCCAAGACAGAGGGCACAGCTATTCATAAGAACAGGAACAATTTCCTTAAAACTCACAATAAACATCAGTAGAGCTTCATTCTATACTTACAAAAGCTCCCATCAGCAGTGAGCTGCTCTGGATCAGAAGGGTCCTTTCCCCTGTATCTCAACTAGATTTAGCCTCAAACAATACTTGAAATTAAGAAGTGCACGTCCCCATACCCTGCCACTGCAAAAGCGTCATGCAAATACTGCACAGTGACAGATACTCACGTGCGGGAGCCCTTATGACAGGATGAGTACGTGCACATGGTATCTACATGATTAAAAGGCAAATGCTTCTTTCATGTGACTAAGCATCAGGACTCCATCACAGCTACAGGAATTCAGACTGTGGGAGGTGTCTATATGCTAGAGAAGCATGGTGAAATACGAAAACTTTGAAAAATAATGCAAGTTTGTGGGGTCTCCAAATGCTTCTGATATTTTCGATTCTTCTGCTCATTTTCACTCTTTTTTTCTTTCTTTCTGTGCCTTCTTACTTCACTGAGTGACTTTTTTCTTCTCCTTTCTTAAGTAAAAGCAATTGCTCCAGTCTAGGTAGTGTTCCCAAATAGTTTCACCCCTTCTATGACCCTTACTCCACTACACACACACACACACCCCAAATACACACACACCCCAAATACACACACACACACACACACACACACACAGAACTATTAAAACAATCAGCCAACATAGCAGAGCCAAAGCTGTGAGCAGCCAGCATGTGCTGGCACCCAGCAGACACACCGTTCTACCTCACCATGAAAAAGTACTCACAGTTCAAAACCAAACTACCATCACCTCCAGATTCAAGCCTCAGAGGAGCTGACATGCCGGCTCCGTGCACACTCCGTAGCAAACCCTCAAAGACATTGCCTGCCGCTGATAAGGAGTCGACAGGTGGAAGGCAGCACTGTACATCCAGTGCCAATGTTTCAACCTGTTCTTCCAGTCACGTAACAGGTCACTAGTCACACAGGCGCTCCACTCTGAAGACAGCCCCAGCAACTGAGTAACCAGTTAGGTCAGGAAATGCCAGCTATCTTACACAAAAGAGTGGCAGCACTGCCACCAAGGAAATAGTTTAGAGTGTTGATTCAGACTAACGGAAGCAGGGCAAAGGTCTACTCCTGGTACCATCCTCCAGGCCACAGGAGGACATCCAACAGCTCATCAGGGATGTAGGAGCAAGGAGAAAACCTGGGGACATCTCTAAGCCTGTGGAATAAGCCTGGGTTCAGTTTCAACAACCCTGGAAGAGACAAACCAGCATTTCCTGCTAGATCTTTCAACACATATAATGAAGTCCCTCATCAGCTATTCTTGTGAGGTGTTTCTAAAATAATTAAACCACGATCTATCAAAGTCCTGCCTGGACAAAAGGCTTTTAAACAGATCATGTTTCAGGCAGTGCTTGGTTTCTCCCTATCAGACTAGTAGCAACCCTTTCCAGGTTTTCTCCATAGAGTCAAAAGTTTCCACTCAAACACCAACTCCCTAAAACAAGCAAGCAAAGAATAAAAGAACTGTGGATTGAGAAAGACTAGAAGATAACCACGTAGATCTCTGGCCAATGAATCTATGACGTGACCAGCTGAAAAAGGGCCTGGAGTCATCCTGTCCCTTGAATGGTCCAAACCAACATGGACACAGAACACCATGGGAAGACAGTTGTTTTGAGCAATCAGTCTTGAGTTGAAATAAGTTTCTAGAGCTAACCAATAAAAATCTACTGCCTGTCACTCACTAAGCACCTGCTGTGCACGGCACCCCTTTCACATACCCCTCACTTCACCCCGACCAAGGCCCTATGAAGGCCATACTGAGCCTGGGTCTGTTGCTCCTAAAGTCCATGGTCACTATCCTACACTAGTAAGAACTAAACCAACCTCTTAAGGAGTGTAACAAAAACTAGTTATGTTAGTTTCCTAATTAAATTATTATCACCCAATTTTACTGGGATTCATACTGAATCAGCTGTCAGGAAGAAAATAGCAGTTCATGGTGTGTAAGGGGCTGGGGAGGGAACAGAAACCCCCATCTAGGGGTTTCAGGAATGTTACTGCTGGTCCTTTAAAGCTGAGCATACATGCTCTTTTCATAAAACCTTCCTGGGCTAGAAACAGGATTTCCCTACTTGAAAGTGCTTGCACTGCTTTCCTGCTCTCCCAGAGCATCTGCCTTTTTTGCGTGTATTTGAGTTATTCACGTATGTGACTACTCCATTCATTACTCCGCAAGCCTCACAGAGCCAACTCTACCTCCAGCTCAAACCAACACAGAGCCTTGCATGAGGCAGGTGCTCAGTGGTGTCCCACACACAAGCCTTGCGGCTGAAGTGAGGGTTCCTATGGACAGGACTCTCACCTGGCCTTTGTCAGCGAGCTCACTATACACGTGTAGGCAATTCACTGCTACTGACTCTATATAATAAAGAGCTCCGCCAGTGCTCTGTGCGACACAGAGCACAGCTGCAGGGCAGCTGCACGGCTAAAGGACAGCAGAGACTGGAGTGGTGGCAGCGCCAAGGACGGAGACTGAGACAGCTGTGCAGGCAGAGAGGCTCAGAGGCAGAGACTGGCTTGCTGCACGCAGACTTACTCTGAGTGGACGGGATTCTAGTGACTGACCTGCCACTGTGAGAATAAAGCTGGGTATAAACCCTTTCACCCCAGAACATTCCACTGTCATTTTTCGGTCTCACTGAATCCATAGTGAACTTGTCTGGGGCTGAAAGACATTGGCAAGACAAGCTTACTAACTGGTTTTGTTCAGAAAGACAGACTAACCAGAGCAAGTAAGTTCATCACCCTGTGAACTCTCTTCAAAGGCTATGTGTTCCCAGCGCCAGCAGAACCCAACCCCTAAACAATGTCCGTTTAATAAATCAAACATTATAGTAAGATTCGCTCCTAAATCCATCACAAATTCAAACATCACCACATTAATACCTTGGACAATGACGCTGTAGCTCCAGGTCTTACAAGTTTGCCTCCTGTAGATGCTGAAGGGTTATTTTCAGGTTTAGGCTTCTCTACTGTTTTGCTTATCCCAGACACTTTAGGCACTGAGCCGACACTCCTGCTTGCTTTCTTCATTCTGGGTTGCCTCGTGATGCATTTACAAGCAAATCTGTAGAAAGAAATGGCATGATATGAGAACAAAACTGGAAGAACATTCTTTAGAAATTCTAAATTTAGAAATTCTTTAGAAATTCTGAAGAGTTTTACCATGTGATAAATAAAAAGGTTTGAAAGCTATATGTTGACACAAAATAAAATCTGAAAAGTTCTTAGGCTTATTCATCAGAACGCACCCTATTTTCAAGACCTCCTTCTTGAATATCGTTAATTCGAAATTATTTTGTGCTCTAGTTCAGTCAGGAAAAAGAATATGCTAGATATTCTAATGGAATTGGCTAGACATAATGTGCATTATCTTTGGCATTTAATAAAGCATTAATCGTCCTGGTACTTGAGAATTGACCATTTTGTAGGTATTTAAAGTTGATCATACATTTCACATTATCTAACAGTCTTAATTTCAAATATAGATTGTGATATCCACACATAAGCAGAATATACCAGCAACCCAACACATTCAGGACCTAAATATATTCACCAGCCTATCTCTTTTATCAAGATGCAGCATCAAAATTCTTTGTCAGAACATAAGCCTCAATTTTAGGTTCAGAAAATAAGGGCATTCTATATACTTACAAGGAATATGGCAAGTTTTCCACCTAAATGGTTTCTATGTGATTTCACAGCTTAGAGGACTGGGAATAACAGTGGCAGCACACACAGCTAGTCAGATACATCTTTATTAACTGAGCTGGAAAAGCAGTTCCCACAGTAATATCATGTCTGGAAAGAACTGGCTTGGGTAGAGTAATACAACTAACAAAAACGAAGCCCGGTTTTTAATGTAAAGATTATGTATGATGACTCTCAGAACCATATTGAGCACAAAAAGAGGTTAGAAATCTAATTTAAGATTTCTACACATGAATAAAGAGAAACTTACAGAATAACCCTTTGGGAAAGAAAAGGCTCATTCCAATATCCTTAATGAATATTTTACCTAGACTGGGCTCAAACACTCCAGATTTATCTTGCCTTGACATAATACAAACTGTACCAACTGGTTTGGTGGCAGGAAAAGTGAGACAGGGTGAAGGGGGCTCTACTCCACCTTCAACATGATAAGGCCTTTGGGCAAAAACAATGCTGTTATTATCAACTGAAACCCAGTGGGACTTCAGAGACTCTGCTCCAGCTTCCTGGTTATTCCTTATAGAAAATGTTATATATACTAATGATCAAATTACCTACTCCCTCTTAAGCCTTTAGCTTTCTGTTTTCCAATTCCATTTGAGTGATCTGCCCACTGTGAGTGCTCCCTCTGGTTCAGTTCTACCATCTATTTCTTACACTTTCCCAGAGGATACTGCAACATACATACATACATACATACATACATACATACATACATACATAAATAAAGAGTGTGTGTGTGTGTGTATCTCAAGTCGCTTCCCACAACAGGTACAATATACAGTTGACCCCTGCCAGCCAATGATCCTATGCTTTTCTCACCTGTAAAATGAAGGAATTAGATTGGGCCCATCACAAACTCAAGGTACCTGTAGAAAAACCGAGTTCCTAATTAGGTTCCAAAATCCAGAACCTTTTGTACAACTTTTCACTTTTCCTTTTTATTTACCTTCTCTTTTCTAAACCTCACATTTTGCAAATGGCTCCCTAAAGTTTCTTTCTTCTCTCCTCCAAATTCCATGCCTGCGCTCCTTTCTACAACAACACTCAGACCCTCTAGGAGTCCGTCTACTCCTCCAGCCTCTGTCAAATTAATTCTTCCTAGACTAGCACTATCCCACAGAAGTGAACTGCAGTGGCAAATACATTCTATATTCATATACCTGTGCTGCCCAATACAGCACCATTTGCGGTTACTAAGCACATGACATGTGGCCAGTGTGACTGAGGAACTGAATTTTAAATTTTATTTCATTTTAATCTACTAAAGTTACACACTGGCTACCATACTGGACAAAGTAACAGACTCTCTCTTTCTTGTTCCTGTCTCTGTCCCACAATTAAAACTATTCCCACCCCCATGACGGCTATAATCAAGAAGATAGTACCAAGTGTTGAAGAGGACATGCAATAACTAGAACTCCTACATGCTGCTGGCAGGAATGCAAAATGTGCAGCCGCTTTGGAAAACAGTCTGGCAGGTTCCTCAAGTGTTTAAACAGACTTACCACATGACCTAGCAATTCCACTCCTGGATATATACCCAAGAGAAAAGAAAACATTTGTCCACATGAAAACTTATGGACAACTGCCTATAGAAGCATTATTCATAAAAGCCCCCAAATGGAAACAACCCAAACAACCTCAAAAATATCTCCCAATTAAACTATGACAAAATTCTTTGTTAGCATCTAAATTACATTTTAAGTATTAGTATGTATTTGTTACTTATTGGTTACATATTACTGTCACATAGTTCTCTGTTTACATGCCTTCTGCACACAAAATAACTGTTTCAATTCCAAATGTCCATCAAAATATCCACTGATGAATGGATAAACAAAATATGGTAAGTCACCCAACGGAATATTACCTGGGCACAAAGAAGAAATGGAGTAGCGCTACGTGGTACAGCATGGACGAACCTTGAAAACATACCAGATGAAAGAGGCCAGACAGGAAGAATCGGTATCATATGACTCCATTTACACAAACTGCCCAGAGGAGGCAAATCTACAGAGGCAGAAAGTAGATTAGAGGTTGACAGGAGCTGGGGGTAAGGGACATGGATGCTGGCTGCCGATGAACATAAGGGCCTCATTTTGGGATGAAATATTCTGAAACCAGACTGTGATGCTGGTTGTACAACCCTGTAAATATACTAAAAAACACTGAATTTTACACTTTTTTTTTTTGAGAGGGCATCTCTCATATTTATTGATCAAATGGTTGTTAACAACAATAAAATTCTGTATAGGGGGGTCAATGCTCAATGCACAGTCATTAATCCATCTCAAGCCTAGTTCTCTTCAGTCTCCAATCTTCTGAAGCATAACGAACAAGTTCTTACATGGTGAACTAATTCTTACATAGTGAATAAGTTCTTACATGGTGAACAGTACAAGGGCATTCATCACAGAAACTTTCGGTTTTGATCACGCATTATGACCTATAAACAATCAGGTTAAATATGAATATTCGTTTGATTTTTATACTTGATTTATATGTTGATCCCACATTTCTCCTATTATTATTATTATTTTTATTTTTAATAAAATGCTGAAGTGGTAGGTAGATGCAAGATAAAGGTAGAAAACATAGTTTAGTGCTGTAAGAAGGCAAATGTAGATGATCAGATGATCAGGTGTGTGCCTATGGACTAAGTATTAATCCAGGCTAGACAAGGGCAGCAAGACATCCACGGATGCAGAAGATTTCTCTCAAAGCAGGGGGGGTGAGGTTCTGAGCCTCACCTCTGTTGATCCCCAAATTCTCACCTGATGGCCCCCCTGCGACTGTGCCTGTCTTAGGTTGTTCCTCCCTTGAGGAATCTTACCCGTCTCTGGCTAACCAGTCATCTTCCGGGGCCATACAGGGAAATGTAAAGTTGGTAAGTGAGAGAGAAGCCATATTGTTTGCAAAGGTTAGCTTTTTACTTCTTTGCAGATTTATGCCCTGTGGCTTCTATGCCCAGCACTTGTCTCGAGGTATCTTTACCACCTGGAGGAATTATGATACTCGGTAAATTCGATATGAGGCACGAATTCTATTTAAGGGTTGTAATTAGGAAGGAAGAAGAAAAGCTATAGATGTAGCATATGAAGGAAACTTGGGAGGATTGATTATTTCTTTGACATATCTTCTTGTATAGTACCTTAAGTATGTATAGGTTTTAAACTACTAACTAATTTGCACACACATATTAACATAATAGGAATACGGTGACATAAACAAAGCAAATCTATAATTACCAGCCATCTCCAGTGAAGCCAAGAAAACCATTTAGGCACCCTAGGCATTTGTGAAAATTTATCTATGATATGATGGATATTTTCCAACTGTACTTGAACCATCAGACAAATTAAAGCAGCCCATTTCTGGGATCTGTTCACATCCCATATGTTCTTTTAACCATAGATAGTCTATAGTCATGAGATTTTGGGGTGCTACAACTTGCACCCCTCCCAACTCCTGGTTGAGTTCCAACAGTACAGATCCAGTCAAATTCGTTGTCTCACTGTATGCACATGCCAGCCTAGACATCTCCCTCCTCCTTCTTATGGCAAGTCCAGGAGACGGTGGGCTGGATGCAGCCACAACCGCAGCATCGTCCGGATCCCTGTGGAGGCTTTTTGATGATCATCCCCCGGCACGAGTCCTCCAGAGAGTGCTGATGCCGGAAGCTCCTCCTCATATCGTATCTTAGTTCATTTTCTGGGTATCCAAGCTAGGCCTTGATCTTCTGCGTAGAAACAAACAGACCCTTTGCCCACACTTTGACATGCCCTCTATACCACTGTGCAGAACTCATTGGAGGTCAGCACACAGTAACTGCTTTTTTTTTTTTTTTTTAATTAAGAGAAAGGAATATTATCAGAAAAGAGTACCTCCATAGCTGATCATCTGACACCCTTTAAGTGATCAACATTAAGGATATTTAAAGCATGCGTTGATCTTTGATTTACCAATAGTTTTATCCTGTTAAGGAGTAATCCCCCTTTTCTTTCTTTCTTTCTTTTTTTTTTTTAAATTTTTTAATCTACACTTACCTGAAGAATACTATGTTTACTATGCTCTCCCCTATATCAGGTCCCCCCTAACAACCACATTACGGTTACTGTCCATCAGCTTAGCAAAATGTTGTAGAGTCACTACTTGTCCTCTCTGTGTTGTGCAGCCCACCCTCCCCTTTCTCCCTCCCCCCCATGCATGCTAATCTTAATACCCCCCTTCTTCTTCCCCCCCCTTATCCCTCCCTGCCCACCCATCCTCCCCAGTTCCTTTCCCTTTGGTACCTGTTAGTCCATTTTTGGGTTCTGTAATTCTGCTGCTGTTTTGTTCCTTCAGTTTTTCCTT